GCAGGGATGCAGGCCAGTGCGAACAATGGGCCTGGGTCACACACAAAGTGGTCAATAATGTTGGGTCCACAGAAGGGAAGTTGGGAGATAAGGACAATGGGGACAGGGTAGCAGAGAAACCCACTCACCCAGCAACCACTGACCAGGATCACACAGAACTTCCTAGTCATGATGGAGGGGTAGTGCAGTGGGCGACAGATGGCCAGGAACCGATCATAAGCCATAACTGATAAGAAGAAACACTCCGTTGTGCCCAGTGAAAAGAAGAAATAGAATTGGAGGAAGCAGCCAGCGAAGGAGATGGTCTTGGTTTCAGAGAGGATGTTGACCAGCATGTTTGGAACAGTGGAGGAAACATACCAAATCTCTAGGAAGGCAAAGCTTCCCAAGAAAATGTACATGGGTGTGTGAAGTCGCCTGTCCCATTTCACTGCACAGACAATAGCCCCATTCCCCAGCAGGGTCAGGAGATAGAATACCAGGAGCAATGAGAAGAAGAAGTTCTGCATCTCCCTTGGACCACGGAAACCTAGGAGGACAAACTCAGTCACAAAATGCATTGTTGTATTCTGGGATCCCAGAGCTGTTAGAAAAACACAAAAATCAAGGAGTGAATAATAATGAACATTCGTAGGTCTTACTAGCAAACTGCTTGAGAATTGCACAAAGTATTTATATAAACATCATCTCGTTTGGTCTTCCTAATGTCCCTTTGAGCACTAAGGAGGTGTGCTGTATCTTCTCTCTTAATGATAATGAAACGGAAGTTCAGAGAGATTTAAGGAGTTTACTTAAATGTGCAAAGCCAGTAAATCCTAGATACACACTGGTTCATTTGGAGATTGTTTTAGAACAAAGTTCATTTCACTTCATTTCAAATATTTCTATAACCTGGAGTTTCAGTTCTGTTTTGTCCTTCATGTTAAAATCATTTCACCTTGGATATCCTACATACAAGTATAAAGCTTGGATACATCCTTTTACTTTGAAACCAAATTGAGTATAACTCTGAAGCAAAACTAGCTATTAGATTGCCTTCTTGGTCAGAATTTCATATGTAGAAATCCAATAAAAAGCAGGTAAGAATGGAACTGTGGGTGGGAGTCTTGAGCCTCCTTGCATTTGCTGCTCTTAGGGAGATGCTGCAGAACTCACAGACGGACAACAGTTTAGTGGTTACCAGAGGATAAGGGGGAAGGGGAGTGGTAGAAGAGGAAAAAGGGGTTCAAATACTCATANTCAGCATCTTAGCTGTAGAGGGCAGTGTCACTGGCCCTCATATGTGGGATCCGAACCAGGGTCCTCTGGTGTCCCAAGCCAGCTCTTAACCAACGTGCCACTCAGCCGGCTCTGTTATGTGTCTTTTTAATGAAGTGTTGGACTGTCATGTAAGCAAATAACCAATCTCTTAACAAATTTGTGTGGGCAGAGATTACACATTGGAAAAATCAAAATCTTCCTGGAAGTAAATATTGAGATTTTTAAGAATTATTTTTACCATGTGTGTAGTGGCAATCTCTTCCCATGGAAATACATTTATGAAACTAAAAGCGTATAAAAATGATCAAATACATGATGAATTTTGCTTGCACAAGAGGACCGCCGTGATGGTTATGAATAATGCCAAGTCAGTTGGGGTAAAAGAAGAGGACTATTCTGACATTTGCAGAAAGACAGTCAGTCAGTCATTAGATTTCACAAGATTTTGATAGTTCTCATTGCACAAAGGACCTGATGGAGGGCGAATTTCATGTCCCTGTTGCGTAGGCTGTAGATGAAGGGGTTTAAGACTGGTATCACTACAGAGTATATCAGTGTGATGATCTTATGCATAGCACCTGAGTTGTCAGATGTTGGACTTACGTACATCACCATTATGGTTCCATAGAACAGACACACCACAGCTAAGTGGGATCCACAGGTGGCGAAGGCCTTTTGCCGCCCAGTTGAAGAAGGAATCCGTAGCACAGCTCTGAGTACCAGAAAATAGGACCCTAGGATGTACAATATGGTGAGAACGATGATAAGGGAGCTCACAGAATATAATACATGCTCTATGATGGGTGTAGGAGCACAGGACAATGCCACCAGTGGGCCCACATCGCATAGAAAGTGATCAATGATGTTGGGACCACAAAAGGGTAGTTGAGAAATGAAGAAAATTGAAATTGAATATGACAAGAAACCAATCATCCAACAAAGAGACACCAGAATGACACAGAACTGTCCAGTCATGATGGAGGGATAGTGCAATGGGCGGCAGATGGCCAGGTACCGATCATAAGCCATGACACAGAGGAAGAAACACTCAGTTGTGCCCAGGGAAAAGAAGAAGTAGAATTGAGTGAAGCATCCAGAGAAGGATATGGTCTTGGTTTTGGAAAGAATATTGGCCAGCATGTTGGGGACTGTGCAGGTCACATACCAGATCTCTAGGAAGGAGAAGTTGGCCAGGAGCATGTACATGGGGGTATGGAGTCGGTTGTCCCATCTCACTGCACAAATGATGGCCGTATTCCCAGTCAGGGTCAAGATGTAGACCAACAAAATCATTGAGAAAAGGATGATTTGTATTTTCCAGGGACCAGGAAAGCCCAACAAGACAAACTGTGTTACAGTTGACATCCCTGACTTATTCATTGTTCCCAG